GCCCCGGGGGGGCCGCGCGGGCGCGGCGGGCTGGGGGGGCCGGGGGGGGGGGGGGGGGGGAACACGGCGCAGGGGGGGGGGCGGGGGGGGGGGGGGGGGCGAGAGCGGCACCGACGTGTCGCAGCCGGCAGTGGCGGCACCGCACGTGGGCAGCGGTGATTTGGGGTCCCGCCGCCCCCCGCCCCACCGGCAGCAGCCCCGTGGGGCAGCGCGGCCCCGCGTCACCCCGTCCTGTCCCCAGCGTGAGGCAGCCGAGAGCCGAGGGGGCTGGGATGGAGAACAGGGAGTCCCCGACTCCACCGCGACCCCGAGCTTTGGGAGCAAAGGGCCGAACGTGTCTGCGCGTGAGCAGAGCCCACTGCTCGGGGGCGTCCCGGCCTCGGTGGGATCCCGTCCCCAACGGGGGGGTCTTGGCCTCAGTGGGGAATCCTGACCCCGAGGAGGGGGGGAAATCAGTCCCAAGTGGAGGCATCACAACCCCGCTGGGGGACCTCGGTCTCAATGCGGGGGTCCCGGTGCGGCGGCACACACGAGGCGAGGCGTTGGGTTGACAAGGCGTGTAGTTTAGGACGGAGGCGGGAGGCGAGCGACAGACACAAAGACAGACGGACAGAGCCACGCGCATGCTGCAGCGGCCGCGGGGGGGCTGTGGGGGTTGGGGTCTCAGGCCAGGTCCTTGAAGGCGTCCAGGTTGAAGGCGGTGTCGAGCAGCCGCTGCAGCTCCGTCAGGTGAGTCTTCTTGTTGCCGGTGGCGGGGGCAGCTGCCGGCTCCCGGCCTGCGTACCTGCAGGGAGATGGAGGTTGGGGGGCGCCGGGGCAGCCCTGACTGGGGCGCTGCCCCTTGGGACCCCTGGCTCTGCTGTTACCACACGGGCTTGGCGCGGTTGATGGTGGTGCGCAGGCGCGGTTTGACGTAGTCGTAGTAGCCCTGGTTCTTGTGCTCCTCCTGGCACCACACCAGCTCGGCGTTGGGGTATTTCTGAGCTTCCTTCTGCAGGAGGTCGAAGGGGAACGGCGACAGCTGCGGGAGGACGGGGGTTGGTGGTGGCCGGCGTGGCACCCAGTGCTGCGGCCTCAACCCGGATGCGCCGGGCTCACCTGCTCCACCCTGGTGATGGCCACGTCTGCCTCCATGTTGCGGGCCTTGCGCTCCCGTGTCAGGTCGTAGTAAACCTTCCCGGTGCAGAACAGCAGCCGGCGGACGCTCTGCGGGCTCTGTGCTGCGGGGCCGCTGTCGGGGATGACCCGGAGGAAATTGGTGCCTGTGGAAGGATGGAAGCCCACCATCAGCGCGGGGAGAACGCGGCAGGGCTGCGGAACGGGGAGGTGGTGCAGCCGTAAGGACCCGCAGCCCGAGGTGACCACAACCAAAGGGATTTTAGGGATTCAATCTACTGCAGCACAGGGGTGGCCGGCGCGGGGATGCTGCCAGCAGGACTTTACACCACCCCGGCTGCTGCCCTTCACCCCCCAGGAGGCAAACGCGGCCCGCGCTGCCGTACCTGGCAGCATGTCATCGAAGCTGGAGCGCGCTTCGGGGTGGCGCAGCAGCGACTTTGGAGTGAAGATGATCAGCTGCAGGGGAGGGAGAGGCCAAACGGTGAGCAGTGCCAGAACTCCTTGCCCCGAGCAGGGAGCACGGCTGCCTGGCAGCGCCCTTCCTCTGGTCGGCTGGGAGCAAACAGGAGGGCACACGGGCTGCTCCGTTTGCCCAAGGACAACGGCGGTTTCCAACCCCAGAGCTTTCTTCCCCCCCTTCCCCCGCAGCGAGCAGCCAGCAGCTCCTGCTGCACCCACAGCCCCGGCGCCGGGCACTGACCGGTTTGCGGAAGGGCAGGAGGATCTGACGCCGCAGGACGTGGAAGAAGTTGGCTGGAGTGGAGCAGTTGACGACGATCCAGTTGCAGTCGTACAGCTGGCGCACGTCGAAGTCGTCCAGCTTCTGCCTCAACAAATGTGGGTCAGCGGGTGTCGAGGAACAGCAGCGCCCCGTGGCCCCGCAGCCCTGCTGCCCCCCAGCTCCCCGCTGCCCCCTCCCAAAGCACACAGGGACACACAGAGAGCACAGCACTGGGAACAGCCGCGCTTCTGTGCTCCCAGTGTGGGACAACAGCCTCCCCGCTGCACCGCACTGCTGCTGAGGGCAGCTTGGCGTCACGCTACGTTGTGCTGAGCCCACCCTGGGGCCACCCCCCACCCTCGATGGGGGAGATCAGGGCCCGGCAAGGCCGCCGGGGGGGGGGTGGTGAACGGGGGGTTGGGCTGAGCCCCACTCACAGGGAAGACGTCAGGGTCGTCGTTGCACATCTGCAGGAACCGCTCCGGACGGGCAGATGAGTGCTCAGGGCCCTGCAGGTAGAGCCAGGCAGTGAAAGAACAGCCAGGCTGCCATGAGCTGGGAGGCAGCTGGGGCCTGGGCGGGTCCTCACCATGCCCTCCATGCCGTGGGGGAGCAGCAGGACGATGCCGTTCTGCCTGACCCACTTGGCTTGCCCGGGGCAGATGAACTGGTCAATGATGCACTGGGCGGTGTTGTGGAAGTCCCCAAATTGGGCTTCCCAGAGCACCAAGGCATTGGGGCTGGCCATGGCAAAGCCCAGCTCAAAGCCTGCAGGAGAGGGAAAGGGAGCGTTAGGGGGAGGGCTGGGGCTGCGGCCCTCTGGGCACGGAGTCACACTCACCCAGGACGCCATACTCAGACAGAGAGCTGTTGCAGACGGTGTAGGGAGCCTGGTTGGGCCACAGGTGGTTCATTGGGATGCAGGTCCTCTTGTCCACATTCTGGTCGTGCAGCACGTGGTGGCGATGGCTGGAAGAGGGGGAAGGGCAGCGTTACCCCCTCCCAAACGCAAGCTGCTGCTTCACGGGTGTCTCATTTGGCCATTTCCCCCTTCCTGGCTGCTTTGCCAACAGGGGATCGCGGCGCAGAGTGGCAAAATAAACAGCCCAAAGGACAAAGGCCGTGTGGTCTGGGATCCCTTCCAGAGGCCGTGGGGCCGAGCACAGCAGCGCTGCCCCACCTGAAGGTGCCCCTCTCGACGTCCTGCCCGCTCAGGCGGATGTGGATGCCCTCCTTCAGCAGGGAGCCGAACGCCATGTACTCAGCCAGCGCCCAATCCACAGTCCTGTTCTTCACCATCTCCCCGCGGGTCTTCAGGATTCGGCTCAGGCCTGCCGGGACAGGCGATGGTTCGTGGTGGTGAGAACAGCTCCATCCCCAAAGCTGCCCGTGGGCTGACGGTGTGCGCATGGCAGGGGAACGCTCCCTCTGGGCAGCTCCAAGGACGAGCTGCTCCTTGCGCTCCTCCCCTAATTAACCACAGCTCCCTTTGAACCCCTCAGCGCTCCGTCCCTCTCCCACACCGTCTCAGGAACGAGCACGTGGCTGCAGCGAGCTCCTACCTCCGTGGATGGTGAAGTCCTCCACAGGCACAGAGCTGGCCACTTGGCCGATGTGCGTCAGGTCCTCCTCGTTCAGCCCGGTGGAGGGGCAGCTCATGCTGCGGGGTTGGCCGTCCAGAGTGAAGAAACCTGTGGCCGGAGGAGCAGCCACAGTGCTGCAGGGCCAATGCCCGGCCCCACCGACACCCCGAGGACAGAAGCAGGGGTGCCAGCACGGCGCCCTCACCCCGTGAGCATGCATTTGCTGAAAGCCAGCTGACGGGGCACCGGAACCCTGGCAGGCTTTGAAGAAGTGGGGCTGTGCACTAGCTGAGACGCTGTCAGCAACTTACCAGGCCAGGGGGAGTCCAGCCAGTGCTTGATGTGCAAGATCTTTTCATCCTTGGATCTTGCATGGGCCTCCTCACAGATCTTATCATACTTGGCGATTTCCTCCTGCGAGGCAGAAGCGGGCAGAGCTGCGTTACTGAGGAGGCTCCAAACAACAGTGCTGGTGTGAGCTCAGGGGCTCCTGGGCTCAGAGCGAGTCCCTGTGCCAGGCAGCCCCTGGGGGCCCTGCAGCTCAGCCCCAGCCCTCCCAGTGCCGCAGGGCACGGCTGCGGAGCAGCTTAGCACTGCAGAGATGAAGGGGCAGCCCAGAACGAGATGGGAACGAGATGTTCCTGTTCCCAGCTGGCACAGCCCACAGCAGAGCTGCAGCTCCCAGCCCAGCCACTGCTCACCCAAGTGCAGCACAGCTCTGCCACCTTTAGGTGCGTGGCGATGGGCCACCAGCCGTCACCACAGCTCTGAACCAACCGAGCAGCTTCACGAGGCTCTGAGGCAGCCAGGGCAGGTCTGTGTGCCCGGTGCCCTGCATCCCTCTCCCATGCTGTGCCAACCTTTCCATTGTGAAGATGGGTGCACTCCGTTCCCTTGGAGGGTGCTGGGGGTGCCAGCTCCTCTACCCCCCATGCCACAGTGCTGCCCAGCTGCACGCTGACCCCAGTGGCATACCTCATACTCTGGCTGATTTACAACCCCCTGTGAAATCAGGAGCTCGGCGTATTTCTGCAGCACTGGCTTCTGCTTCCGGATCTGTTTGTACATCAGGGGCTGCGTGAACATGGGCTCGTCCATCTCGTTGTGCCCGTTGCGCCTATAGCACACCTGTGGGGAAGGAGGGGACCTCTGAGAGCAGCCCTGCAGCCTGAGCCTCGCAGAGCCACAGCGTCTGTGTGCTATGCGAAGTCCAAAGCAGCCCAGGAGGGAGCAGCTCTGCCCTGCTCAGTGCAAGGAACGAGGGCAGGCACAGAGACAGAGACAGCGCTTCTTCCCCAGGTGTTAGAACGCATGGCCTCACCTAAACCCTCTCTTTCCCTCCCCTGAAACCGTGCCCCAAAGGCTGGAGAAGCCACAGCTTCCAGACAAAGCCAGGTGCCACCTCCTTACCAAATCCACCACCACATCCTTATGGAAAGTGCTTCGCCACTCCGCTGCCACATTGCACACATAAACCACAGCCTCGGGGTCGTCAGCGTTGACATGGAAGATGGGAGCATTGACCACGCGGGCGACGTCGGTGGGGTACGGAGAGGAGCGGGCCATGCGTGGGTCAGTGGTGAAACCAATCTGTTGGGGAGGACGGGATTTGGAACGAACCGTGCTGCCTGCAGGTCTTGGCTGGCACTGAAGCCGGGCAGGCACCAGGCCAGGCATTTTCCATCAGCTTGCACGGCGTCTGGGGAATGCAGGTGACTTCCAGGCCTCGGGCTGCAGCGAGCCGGGCTTCCCCAGCCCCATCCCAGCACTGGAGCCACAGCATCTCCCCTGGTTTTGGGCAGCTGTGCCCCTTACCTGGTTGTTGACCACGACGTGCACGGTGCCGTGCGTGGTGTAGGAGGGCAGGTCGCTCAGGTGGAACGTCTCGTACACGATCCCCTGCCCTGCAAATGCTGCGTCGCCGTGCAGGAGGATGGACATCACCTGCAGGGCAAAGGCACTCAGTGGCACTGCGGCCACATCTCAGCCCCACTGCAGAGTCCAGTGGTTTCCCACAGTGCCTGACAGGCAGCTGCTGCGATCCCTGTGGGATGCTCGGGGCCATCGTCCCACCCCAAAACCCTCTGCTCCACATCTCCAGGGACTGAGTTGGGAGAAATGCACCTTTCCTGCATGCTTTCACCCCAAAAGAAGGAGCGCGTTGTGGCAGAGCTCGCTGTGCCTTCAGCTGCTCCGCTGCTTTAGCCGGGGGCTGCCTGAGGACGCTGCCTGCCAGGCGAGAACAGAGCTGCTCTATTTATTCCCAACCCTCGCAGTGTGGGAGGAAGGGAAGTACTTTTGATCTCACCATTCCACTTCTCCTGGAGTGCCACAGGCGATGAATGAGGCAGCGATTTGGGCACAAACCCCCCCGGCGCGGTGCCCCCAGCACTCCCACCCCGCACACAACGAGACCCTGCAGCGTGAAGCTGAGCCCTTGCAGCCCTGCTGCTGAGCCTTTGGGGATGGGAGTGCTGCTCGGGGCCAAGCCCCCACAGGAGCTACCAGCACAGACCAGTGGGAGACGCAGGAGCAGCCGTGGTGACGGCAGTTTGTGTGCCAGACCCTCAGTGCGGCCGCCCTGCTCACCTTCTTCCCCTCTGTGTCCCCGCAGTAGAACTGCTCCGCTTTGGTCTTGCCTTGGACCACGGGGTCAGCCGCCTCCAGGTGGGAGGGGTTGGCCACCAGGGACAGGGTGATGTTCCTGTCGGTGACACGGTTGATCCTGCGGTGGTACATCCCCAGGTGGTATTTGACGTCACCGGAGCCCTGCCGGAGGGATGGGGTCACGGCGGTGCAATGCAGCGCCACGGCCTGCAGGCTGCTGGGGGCATGGAGTGGAGGAGGACTCACCTCGTCAGCAGCCTCCAGCTTGGAGTCAAACTGGCAGAAGATCTGCTCCAGCTCCTTCCTGATCACGTTGGCAAGGACGTTCAGGCGCCCTCTGTGAAAGCAACGCCGCCGTCGGTGAGCAGCAGGCAGCACAGCCCCCTGCCTCCTAACCAGAGAGCCGGGGGCAGCCCTACAGCCCCCGAGCTGCGGGGAAAAAGGGGAGGGGACAAGGTCCCGAGCTGTAACACGTCCTTTGTGTGTATAGCACATCCTTTGTGCTGCAGGGATGGGGATGCCCTCGGTGCCCTCCCTGCTGCAGCACGGCCAAATCCCACCCTCACGCTGCAGCCCTGCTCAAACGCAGCTCCTTCGGCCACAGGCACACAGCGGGCTCTGCAGCGCCATTCCCATCTCTTCCCCCCCAGAGCCCTTCTGTACAGAGGGAGCTGCTGAGGTCCGAGCTCGGCTGCTCACCCTGCAGAACCGAACCCCAGGGTACCGAGCGCAGCAGCACCTACCTGTGGGGCATCCCCATGATCACATAATCCACTCCCTTCTCACTCGACTTATCAATGATGGTCTTTAAGGCTGGGATCAGCACTTCGCAGCCCTCCAGACCGAAACGCTTCTCCGAAGACCATTTCCGATGGAGGAACTCCTCAAACCTGGAAGGGGGGGCAGAGAGAGGACCTTACCAGGGGGCACAGCCCCTGCTCGCCCCACGCCCTCTCCTGCTGCCCAGCTCCCTGCTCCCACCCTGCATGCACACGACTCCATGCTGTGCTGCTGAACAACGCCTTATTTTTAGCTGCTTTCTGCCAGCATCATCTGTCTGCAGGCTCCGTGCCAGCGCTCTGGCAGCACCTGAGTGTGCCCTACGTCACGGATCTGTGCTCAGCCCGCCCTGGACGGACCACACGGATGACACCAAGGAGAGGTGATGCAGGTGGTGACCGTCCAGCGAGGGCAGCCATCCGGCAGGAAATAGATGGGGGAAAATGGGGGCCCTGGCAGGGTACCTGGTGGAGCGGACCAGGCGTGCCAGCAGCGTTCGCTTCTCCTCGTTGCTGAACTGCATGATCCCCGGGGTCTCGAACTTCTGCCGGATCCACTGGCACTGCTCCAGGTCGTTGATGAACATGAACTCCACGCCGATGTGCTGGCAGTAGGCCATCTGCCCCGGAGCATCGCACAGCCCGTCAGGCACCGGCAGGAGCCGCACGCATCCCCAGCTCCAAGGCAGCTCCGTGCGGTGCCAGGGTTCCCTCGGTCTCCTCTTTCAGCACCCGGCAAGGTGAGCGGTGAGCTGCACCTCCCAGGAGTCACCCAGCACGCTGCCTCACCCCATTGCTCAGCACGGCTCCCTCTCTGCCTGCACGTGCAGAACCCACAGCCTCCGAGGGCTGCACCGCACCTCAGGCTGCTTTCAGACCCCATTTGTCAAGGCAGGAGGGAATGAGGAAAACCTCCCAGAATCAGGGCCTGCCCTGCTCATCTCCGTCCTGAGGTCAGCCAGGAACGGGGAGCGAGGCAGAGAGGCAACAACCTGCAGCAAAGCCACGGCGCTGCTGCCAACAGCTCTGTGCTGCACGCCGCTCTGCCTGCAGACCCACAGCCCTCACCTCCAGGCGGCGGATGATCTCCCGCAGCGGAAGAGCCGACTCATTTCCTCCGATGAAGGTGGTTGTGGGCAAATGGAAGACCTTGTCGAGGTCGGACTCATCCAGCCCGTAAAATCCTGCAGGGTTGTGGTGGTGGGACGAGCGGAAGCAGAGAGAAGGAAGGGATGGGGCCGGGGGGGGGGGGTGTC